TTTAAGGCAGGGGCCAGAACCCCTGAGCTAAATCCCCGGCTCAGGCTTTTGAATTCTTGAGCATCCAAAGCTGTGATGAAATATAATTGAATCAAGAATGGAATGAAACCCTACTTGAGTAAGCAAGTCAGAGAAAAGTTTAAATGTATTTTTAATAAGCGTGGAACAAAATGGCCTCTTAGTCACCCCCAAATAGATATCATGTACAAGTGGAACAAATTACGATAATCCAAGCTGTTTCATTTTGTTGCTGATGTTTTGGCTAGAGGGGGAAGGGAAGGAAATTTAGGCAGGAAAAAACATTATATATGAATCAAATTTCCCTTGATTTTAGAAAGCAACAAAGATGAATTGACAAAAAATTTTATTTTGTTTATATTATCAGTTCCAGAAACAAGAGAGTATCTTCTAGAGACATTTTAGCACATTATACCTTATGTGCTAATTATTTGCCTTAAATGGTCCATTAATTTATTGTTCTTGTCAAAGGCCAAAGGAAAGCATTGTGATGTATATATGTACGTATTTATCTATGTATGTATGTTGATGCTTTTGTTATGTAGCCCAGGTCGGCCTTGAACTGGAGGTGGTTTTCCTGCCTCAGCCTGCTACTGGGATCACAGGTGTGGGCCACCACAGCAGCTGTGACCTTTAAAAAGAAAACACATACCAGGGATTTAGCTCAGTGGCTTCCCTGCCTGCTGCCCAAACGCAAGGACTTGAGTTCAATCCCCTGTACCAAAAAAAAGAAAAGACAAATGAACTTCCTATAGGGTCGCCGCCTCACTTGCACTGAGACTAACTTCACTGTTCTCAAAGGACCCTGCATGGGTGAGGGGCCAGGAATCCATCTAAAGCTTCCAGTTGCAAGCTCTGCTCAGAGCAGCCTTGCAGAAGAGTCTGTACATGTGGGGCTCAGACACTGCTATCTTCAGCCCCTTTAGCCAGAAGGTCAGAGTGTCCCCAGCTGACCCATGTGCGCTGACTCATTGGTCACATAGAGAGAAACACAGTATACCCAGGAAGTGCATAACTCAAACCACTTTGCCACTAACCCACCCAGTAAGTTATTTAATAATACTGACAGGAATGTATACAGATTTAATCCTCGATTTTACTATATGAGCATTTATTCGTTAGGCATTTGTTCTTCTCTTTATTAAAAAAATAATTACGAACTATTACTAAGTACCAGAAACTATCCTGGGCTAGTACTTTCAAATTGTTTTGTAAGACCGTTTTTGTTTTTTTTTTGTTTTTTTCCAGTTGATTGTTTTCCAATTTGTACAGTTTGATATTTTTATAAACTACAGTAGAAACAAATTATTATAAAAACAATCATGCACTTGTGTGCTGTGCTAGTATCAAATTGACCTCAACTTTTCTAAACTTTTTACTCTACGTGCGATCATTGTGTTTCTTTACTAATCTTGTTGGGAACCAGTGACAAGAGTCAGCCTACAGACTGAACATTAGTAAACAGCATGGTCACATTCCCACTCACATGTTGCTGTACTGTGACAGAGAGAGACAAATGAAAACAACACCCATAATAAATAAAAACTCAGCAGGGCATGGTGGCTTGTGCCTGTAATCCTAGCACTCTTCG